CACACCCCACTGAAGGCCACCTAGCTACTAAGTGGTGGCACTGGTATTTGACCTAAGGTCTTCAGGATGGATAGTGTGTTCCTGGTTGAGTAGTCAGAATGATGTATCAGGGTAACTTTAAAATAATAATAATTTCCAGTTTACATGTGGACTAACCTTTTCATTCATTCTTAGCTTTCTCTTTCAGCTAGTTTTGCCTCTGAAAGCCTGTTTCCTGTTTTCTTAAATGGCGATAATTATTCCCACCTAAAAGTGTTGCTGAGTGGATTAGGCAAGGTGATGTATGTGAGCACACCCAGCCCAGTGCCTTGCATGTGGGCCTCCACCAATTGCTGTGGAGCTAGAATATCATTCGCTCTGAGACTCAGCTAATTCCAGAGCCGTTCCTCATCTGTCTGTCACTTTCAGGCTAATCTGACACCAGAGTACCCCTGGGCTACTTCTCCTTCAGCAGGTGACTTCTTTATTCAATCTAACCACAGGTAATCTGTCCCCTTGGCCCAAACTGTACATTCTCATTAACACAAAGCCTTGATGTGCCTTTTTGTCCTCCTGTCCCCACATCCCCTGCTTCCTTTGTCCAGGAATAACAGAAGCAAAAATTCAAAGAAGCTACTTAGAGCATAGGGAATCCTGCTTCCCTAAAGCTTTCCCTAGGCAGGGGGGTGGGGGAGCTTTTCCCACTTTCTGCTCTTTGAACGCTGCCCCACACACTCTTGCATCAACTACTTTCATTGGAGTTTTGAACGACTTGATTTCAGTTCAGCCGATCCCCATTGAGCAGTTACTCTGTAAAAGATTCAGTCAGGCCTTTAATGTAAATTCATATGAATTCAACATGAACTACATATTGTCTTTGTGTACTATCAGAAACTTTATTCCTGGCTGTCTTTTTTCCCCCTTGAAAATTGCTAGTTGCGGCTACAAATGATGTCTTCTTACATCATACCTGATTTCCTCCATAGCAGAGAGGAATGGGAAGCATGGTATATACAGAGACCCCTTGAGTCTAATTGGGAAAACACGCATATAGGAATGAAAGAATAGAGGCTAACAGCAGTTCACATTTAAAAAGACCCAGGGGTTTTAGTGGACTGAGTTCAACACTTGATTTGGTCAACAGTTATTTGATAATTGCCTACTCTATGGAAGTATTCTAGAAGATGGGGTACAAAATAAATGAGATTTGGACCTGCTCTTGAGGAGGACATAGTCAATCAAGGAGACAGGCTTGAGTAAAATATTTAAAGTGTATTGTGATAGCTGGAGTAAGAGAGGATATGCAGGCCCCTAGTCCAACCTGGGACAAGCTCAGGAAAAGTTTTACCAAAGAGGAGATGCCTATGTGGGAGGGTTGAAGGATGAATAGGAGTTTGGGAGTAGGTAAGGAAGAAATGAAGATTCTGTGAACAGGGATCAACATGAATAAAGATTCAGGCTGAGGCTTGACAAACCTTGGCGTATTCAGAGATTTACAAGCCTTTCTTTCTGGGGGAGGAAGAACTAGGCAATGACAAGAGATGAGGCTGGAGAGGTGAACTAGTGTGTGTGGGTGGCTAAAACCAGGGGTATAGGCATGGATTAGGTTGCTCAGGGCAAGTGCATGGAGTGAGAAGAGAGCTAAGCCAGAACCCTTGCAAACACCAACCTTTAGGAGATCAGAAGAGAAGGAGCCAGAAAGAACTATCCAAGGAGAAGGAAGAGAACTAGGCCAAGGGAGGGAGACTTGCTGGGTGTGGTCAGCCAGGCAGTGTCCTATGTCCTGAGAGGCAAAAAAAAGTTCAGAACTGGAAGTCCATATTGAATGGGGCAGCTCAGAGGCCAAGCAATTATTTTCCCAAGACAGGTCTGCAATCTTCTGCAGATGGTAGGTCATTTGGACTGAAACTGTTAAGGGTCTGCACACAGTAGATGCCCAAGGCCATCATCATCTCCATCATAATTTCCTGCTATCGTTCCCACCCACCATGGTGGCTCAGTTTTATTTCCTCACTTTTCAACAGGCAGGGAAAAATCCTTCAGGACAGTCAGAACTTGTGCTGGGCCCGGTGTGGTCTGGCCCCCACACCCAGCCTGTGCCCACACCCAGCCTGTGCCCACACTCTGTCCCTGACTTTCTAGGCTCTGGCCACACTGGCCTCTTCTGGGTTTTCCCACTGGCCAGGCTTCCTGCTCCTTAGGAGACTTTCTGCAGAGACTTGAATATGCCTCCCTCCTTCCCTCCTCACCTCACTGACTCCTGCCTGTCCTCGATGTCCTCTTCAATGTCCCTTCTCCAAGGAAGGCTTCAGAGAGCCCCTCCCACACCCATCCCTCATAGTACTCCTGGCTCACATGCCCACATCTGTAAGCAAGGGTTTGTGCAACGTTGTGGACATCCTCACGCCCGCCCCCACTAGAGTGTGAACTCTGAGGTAGAGCCTGCCTGTCCTTCCATTGCAGGGTCGCCACAGGGTTCTGTGTAGATATGGGCCAGGCACTCATCCGTTTGACCAGCAAATGGTAGAGCTGTGCCCCATTCGCTCTTCTGGCTTCTGGCTAGCCCCTTTGTCGTCCCTCCAGGTTTGCTGGTCTTCTAAAGGTCTGCTACTGCCCCACCTCCTTTGTGAGCCTTCTGGCATGCCCCTAACCCTTGAAGTAGCTGCTGCCTGCACAGAATGTCCTTAGTTAGTTGAATGCACCTTTGTTAGGACTGAGGAATCTTAAGAGTTTGGCAGCCGAAAGCACAACTCTTGCACTGGCACCCAGAATAATCCCTCATTAGTACAGTGAGTACATTAATAGTACCTTCCCAGAGCCAGCTTCATGGACAGGCAACCTGTGCTGTCACTGAGGGCCCTGGACTCACAAGAGCCCCACACTGAGAAGGGCCCTGCACTGGGCTTAGTGCTCTCCTAGTGCTGCCTTGAAATTCTTGATTTTTTTTAACAAGGGCCTCTCATTTTCATTTTGCACTGGGCCCTACAAATCGTGTAGGTAGCCCTGAACCTACCTCACAAGTGGGTTGTGAGGAGCATAGAGAATGTGTGAGCTATGACTGCTCCAGGGCCTGGCCCATGCTCTCTGCATGGTCACCTGTCGTCATTTTAGTTCTGCTCAACCACAACCACAGTCAGTAATTCATTCTTCTGTTTGCTCAGCTTCACTGACTGAGTGCTATGGTCAGAGGCATTGATCAACTGCTTAAAACTCTTCTGCAGCTGCTCCTTACCCTCCCAGCAGCGCCCAAACCTGGCCAATCTTTAGAATCACTGCTGGGTTCTGGGTTGCGCTCCAGGCCCCCTGAGCCGGCCTCTCCAGGTGGGAGTCCATGAGTCGGCCTCTCCAGGTGGGAGTCCATGAGTCTGTAGAGTTAGCAAGTCCCTAGGTGACTCCAACGCCTTCACCTGTGCCATAGTTTGTGGAACAAACTTTGGGAACCTTCATCCTAGGGTTCAATCCAACCTTCAGCCCAAATGTCTCAGGGTAGCATTCAGTGTCCTTTCCAGTCTGGCCCTTTATGAACCCTAACCCTACACCCAAGTGTTGGTTTTCCCTCACTCCCTGGTAAATGCCTCGTACACCTTTGACACTCGTGTCCTCCTCCGAGAAGATGTCACAAGAACCCATCCCCTCTAGCAGAACATGTTGTTCCTTCCTTTCATGGTCGTCTAGTTTTTAGTTTTCTCCCAGGACGTGTCCTGTTGCACAGGGATTTGTTCCTGCACCTTTGTCCCCTGAGAGATCTCTGAGGAAGCTCCCCTCTGTACCCTCAGTCAGCATTGTAGTGAACACACAGTGCAGATTGACTCCCTGCACTTCAGAGCACTAAATGGACACACACCTCCGTATGTGTGTCTGCAGTGTGCTTTTCCCCTCAGCTGTCAGCACGTAGTCAGTGCTCAGGAAAGCCCCACTGGTTGGTACAGCCGGGCTGTTGGTGGCACAGGTGTTCGCCATTAAAGCTCACGCTGCCTCCTGGCAAACCAAATGCCTTACAGCCCTCGGTGCTCATCTTATGCCCAGGAGGCTCCCACTGCTTCTAGCTCAATCCTGTCTCTGTGGGAACACCCCCTGCCTAGTAGCCTTTCCTTCCAGGAGTCCGGACACACAAGAATCATTCCAGAAGGTCACCCATTTATTGTGTGAAAAAGGAAACTTGTAAATAAAAGCTTTCTTTATGTAATAAGTTCTTCCTTCACCCCCTTCCCTTTTGGGAGGGCCCAAAGGTGGCTGAAGCTCAGGTTACTGAGCTATTTCAAACCAGCCCTGAGTGACCCTAGGTGGATTCTTGTCCTCCAGACCTGTTGTTAGATTGAAATATTTTCCTAGTCTCTCAATCTCCCTTTTCAGTGGTGATGACCATCCCAAATGAGTTATTTACTTTTGATCAAATACTTCCCGTTGCTGTATTTTCATGGTGAGCCTTCCCGGCCAGTGCCTGTGCTCCGGAGGGCCGCAGTGGAGTAGGGAAGGTGCTTTCCTGAGCACCTGGTTTGTGCTCCAGGCTGAGGGGATGCAGAGTCATTGGCATTCAGAGGAATGGGCCTCCTGACTTTCAGTGATTGTTAGTGTCCTGGACTCCCTTGGTATGGAAATGAAAATGAAATTATGAAAATGAAATGATGGCTAATGACACCAAGACGACAGAACAAACAGAGGCCTGTGCTCAGAGCCTGAGTGTTTTGGTTCCATTAGTGTATTTTGTCCAGTGGGCAGAGAAGTGGACTAAATTGTCCCTGTTCTTGGAGCACCTTGGACAAGGTATAAGGCTTGAGGAAACCTTTCTTGCTCTTGGATATTCTTCCCAGTATAGAAAGAGGTGGCTGTGGGAGTATGAAAATGCCTGAATTCCTTGGGAGGACCGGAGGCTGGGGAAGAGAAGGTGATGGTTTACCAGGAGCACCCACTCTTCCTGCTCTTTGTTACTGTCTGGTGTTGACGGTGTTAGATGCCTTCTCAGTCCAGGGGAACGTTCCATGCACCCTGTAACCTCCCTTTCTCCTCTGTTTCTTTCTCAGGCACATCTCTCTAACGCTCCCTGCTACCTTCCGAGGCAGGAACAGCACTCGGACTGACTACGAATACCAGCACTCCAATTTGTATGCCATATCAGGTATGTAGAGCCACTGCTGGTGGCCACAACCTCATCTGTGCCCTGGGCACCTACTCCTTCTAGATGCTTCCTGTCCTCTTATGGCATCTGTCCGTCTTATCTCTGTTTTCCCAGCAAGGGACCTGTTTTTACAGGGACTAGGCCTTCCCTTTCCTTTGTGTCACCACAGCACTTAGGGAAGGGCCAGATACTCAGCATATTTTAAAACTAATGATGAAAAACAGTGTGTGGATTTCACAGACTTGAAGTGAGGTTTCCAGAGAATAGTCACCACATTGTTCACCTGCCAGATTGCGGGCAGGTTTCCCACGGGGACCCGGGAGCAGCACAGAGCTGAGTGCTGGTCTGCCTGGCCTCCCGTATCCAGGTCTGTCCTCACCTCTCATTTCTCAAAGCCAGGTTTGTGGCCAGAGGGTACCCTGGAGGTCTCCCCCCTCACACCCTCATAGTATGAGTCTGTGATTTCTGAACTCGGCCTTGAAATTGATAGTGTTACCTTGGCAGGAACTTCATCAGTCCTAGCTTTCCTTTTCACCTTCACCCAGGGAGGGAAAAACTTACAAGCCTTATTACAGAATTGAGATTCATTATGTGCTTGGCAGCGCAGGTGACTTGCTAAGAGCTGAGGAAACCCACAGACTTTCCTCTGAGTGTCCTGGGCAGCCAGTCAGGGGTGTTTGTGTATAAGGAGGAAGTGGCAAATCGGGGTCATTTTCAAGCACACATCCTTAATGGTGAGTGGCACTTTGAACATGGGAACATGGCATTCATTCATGTACCATAATGAGTCGGTTATTTAAAAGGTAATCTTTTTTTTTCTAAAAATTGCAATTTCAGGTTACTAAATAGATGAAATAGAACAATGGCATAATTTGTGTCAGTATTAGTTTTACTTGTTATGATCAGTCCCTAATAGGTTTGGAAGTATAAGCAAAAGCCGGTTGTTCCATTTCTGGGCAACACTCCTGCTGGGGAAGGCGAGGGACGGGGAGAGTCTTAAACCCTCATCCCTGGCTCCACTCCAGAAGCCAGGCTCTCAAAGGGTAGAAGAAACATGTTTGTCTAAGAAAAGCATCCCCAGGGAGAATTTCTTTTGTGCTGTGGCTATTTCAGCAGAGTCGACAAGGAGTGTAACAAATGTGGAAAGATGACCTATTTTGTAAAAAAGCTGAATATTTCCCCAGATACTTAGTGGCAGAGTGGTACAAAACAGGCCTGTGAAATCCAGCAGGGCAGCCCTGTTCAGAATGCTCATAAGGAAAATGCAATCAGAATAGATGGTTTCTTTCTCCAGCTTGCAAATCTTTCCAGCCACAGTGTTAGGCTACACCCACTTTGCCTCTGTTGTCTGATGGCTTTCCCAGCTGTTGAACATTTCTGCAGAAGAAGGCCCACAGAGTGAAATTGCCTCTGATTTGGCACAAATGTTCCTGTCTGCCTCTGGACCACTGCTTCCTCACTCCGTGGCTTTGATGAGGTGTTGTCTAGGTTCATTTCAGCTGTTAGTTTAGCAATACCAAGGTAACAGCCTCAAGACATAGGGGAAGCCATTCAGAAACTTCCTGTTACATTTATGTAAGTGGCAGTCAATTGGATTTTATCTTCCAAACAGAGGTAGTTGAGGCTACAGCCCATGACAGCAGGAAGCTCAGGCCTCCTTGGCTGCTGCAGGCACCAAATTGCTCTGCCAGGGTCCACGGTGATGCTGCCAGAAATACCCTGCAGGACCCGCTGGCTCCATCAGGCCTGCAAGCTCAGCACTGGGCAACTATGGTGCAACCGGGAAGCCTGCCCACCCACCCACCGGCAGCCTGCCTGTGAGTCATTCTGGCTAGAAGGGAGCAGAGACCACCCTCTTACTCCCCATGTGAACAGTGTTTGGCGTCGAGTGGCACGTCTCAGTTTGGTATTGCAAAGTTAGAGTTTTCAAAGCTTTGTTCCAAAAACAGTTAAGGCAAAGTGTGCCCCAGACCCTAGCCCTTGCCCAGTACTCAGTGCCATGATAGCTGGAGTTCTGCTGGTAATGAAATGAATCATGAAGCTCCTCTCCCTCCACATGGGCTCTGGCACACGTTCACTGCAGACTTCAGGGCCTAAGCCTTTGGTGCAAATGCCTGGTATGCCTGTGTCCTTCCTGAAAACGTTTGATTACCGTTCCCTTCGTTCATAGCCCCTTCCTAAGATAAGTAGATTTCAAAACAATGTAATTACAGATTTGAAAAGCAGCCTACATTTAATTTGTATGTACACCTACTCCTCACTTATCAGCTATCTTGTTATCTGACATTTTGCATTTATGACAACGGTAAAAAATCTACCGACTATTTTGCACATTAACGAAGTATGTCTGGCAATAACGAACACGAGGTGTGAGGCAAGGGTAACACTACCTGTGACGGTTAAGGTTATGTCAGAGCGCCAGAAGAAAAGTGGTGACTGATAGGAAGTGGGCTGCCCCTGTGGCCTGTGGGCCTAGAGGGCCATGGGGAAGGCAGTGTAGGGCAAGAAGGAGAAGGCTGAGTTACTGGAGGAGGAGTGAGAAGGAGTGGGAGGTGGGAGGTGGAGGGAGGACACGGCAGACAGGGCAATTACAGTCTGGGGTGGGCCGAGGGAGGGGTCCATAGTGAGTGCTCATCAGTGCTACAGCACAAGTCCAGAAGAGGCACATGCCTAGCCTCCTCTTTCCATACAGAGCGGCTGCCAAGGCTCCACAGCTGGGACCCCTTCCTGGCTCCAACTCCCCAAATGTGCATGGTACAGGACCCTGTGGGGCTATGAAGTCAGGCTCTGCAACCTTGCCTCCATGCCTCCCAGTGCCAGTCCCAACAGACCTAGCAGACAGAGCTTGCATATGATCTCTCAAACAGTCTTGGTTATGCCTAGGCTACCATAATTTTCACATAATGTGATTTTCTCATAATGACCTAGTCTTTGGAACCTAACCATGTTGGTAAGTGAAGAGTAGGTATATATATATATATATAAATATGTGTGTGTGTGTGTGTGTGTGTGTGTGTTATTTATTTTTAAATGTTTTCTCAAGAGTATACCTGTAAATATATCCCTTTTTCTATACCTTTCACAAAGACAGCTCATACCCACCACACCTGCAAAGGGTGAGACACTGCTCAGAGTTGCTGGAGAAGCCAGCAGAGATCCTATGTAGCTCTATCCCCAGCACACAGAGGTGCTCAGGAAATGTGGAAGAAATGGAGGAGAGAAGGACGGAGGGAAGAAGAGAGGGAGGGAGGAAAGCACATAGCCAGCGTCCACTTGAAGCAGGACTGTCCTCTACAACCTCTGGGGCAGGTGATCATCCTCATCTGCTGCTTAAATGCTTCCAGAATCTGGGGCTGCCTCCTCCTAGCAGCCCCTTCTATCTCTATGAGATTTTACCTCGTTGATTTGCACTCTGTCTTCCTATATGTTCATGTTGCTGTTGTTGGGTGCCATTGAGCTGGCTTCACCTCACAGCGACCCTGTGTACAACAGAACGAGAAACACTGCCCGGCCCTGTGCCAGCCTCACGGTCCTTACTATACCTGAGGCCATCATTGGCAGCCACTGTGTCAATCTGTCTTGTCGATCTATCCTTCCCCTTTGTCGTTGGCCCTTCACTTTACTAAGCATGACATCCTTCTCCAGAGAATGGTCCCTTCTGACAACATGACCAAAGTAGGTGAGACGATCTCTGATCATCCTTGCTTCCAAGGCGCATTCTGCTGTACTTCTTCCAGGACAGATCTGTTGGTTCTTCTGGCCATCTATGATACTTTCAGTATTCTTTGCTAACACCACAACTCAAAAGCATCAACTCTTCTTCGGTCTTCCTCATTCATAGCTGCCCAGAAATTTAGGGGTATTGAAAAATTCTGTCAGCTGAAATTTACCAACTGTCCTACATTGTCCAGCCAGTATTTGTGTCTTTCCCACAGAAGTGAGACAGAGAACTTGACACTGACTCAGTGCTGAAGTCCTGAGAAGCTCCCATACCTTGTTTGGACAAAATGGCTGTGAAACAAACCTTTGATCCTCACACTTCTTGAGGAATTTCTTCTTGAAAATGATTATAGATATGCAGGAGAGATTTATCCACAAGAATGAGCACTGCTGTTTTGTTTTTTTTAAATAGCAGAAAAGGGGTTGTGGGGAGGAATATCTTAAATGTACAAAAAAAGCAAGTGGTTAAACTATGAAACCTCCATAGAGTGGCCTTCACTTTTCAGCCATCAAAAAGAAAATAATTTATATACGAAGATGTGCGTGAATATTCAGTAAAAAAGCAGATGACAAACCAAAATGTGCAATGTGATTACATTTTTAAAATACGTATCTGAAGATCTAGAGACTGTCCATTTGTGGTGCAGATGGTTTACACTTGACTGCTAATCTAAAGGTTGGTGGTTTGAACCCACCACTTGTCTATCAGTTTATCATACTGTGGTGACTTGTGTGTTGCTGTGAGGCTGGAGGCTATGCCACTGGTATTTCAAATACCAGCAGTCACCCATGGTGGACAGGTTTCAGTGGAGTTTCTAGACTAATACAGACTCAGAAGAAGGAAGGGGCCATCCACTTCTTAAAGAATTGGCCAGTGAAAACCTTATGAATAGCAGTGAAACACTGTCTGATGTATTACTGAAAACTTTATGAATAGCCCTGAAACCTTGTCTGGTACAGTGCCAGAAGATGAGCACCTCAGGTCCAAAGACACTCAAAATATGACTGGGGAAGACCTGCCTCCTCAGAGTAGAGCCAACCTTAATGACGTGGATGGAGTAGTGTTCAGGACCTCCATTTGCTCATGTGGCATGACTCAAAATGGAAGAAACAGCTGCAAACATCCATTAATGATTGGAACATGGAATGCACGAAGTATGAATCTAGGAAAATTGGAAGTCGTCAAAAATGAAATAGAACACATAAAGATCAATATCCTAGGCATCAGTGAGCTGAAGTAGACTGGTTTTGGCCATTTTAAATCAGACAGCCATTTGATC